TTCCCTGTGATCCCTCAATAGCTAGAGTGATTCCCACCTCTTGCCCTTATACCCTCAGACTCCACAGTCAGGAGAAAAGAGCAGTTTCTCCACACACAGACCTGAAACTGGGTCACGTGCCCATCGCCGAGCCATTCCCTCCGGGTGGCCCGGGTGACAGGACACACTGATCAATTGGACCAGTTCATCTCCTCCTTGGGGTAGGAAAGTGTGCACCCCCCATACCTCATGGCTGAGAAAAGAGAAGAGGCAGCTTCACCAAAGGAAAAGCAGGTGGTCTTGTTGAGAGCGGGGCAGTGAACGCCAGGGACCAGAAGCTTGCCAGCCAGTGTTTGCCTCAGACCCCTCGATCCTAAATCGAGCAGGGGTGGCCATCGGGTTGCAACGCTGACAAGTTGTGACACTTCCTTCGTTAATAGACCCTTCAGCTTCTTCATTTAGAAACCCCGCTGCAGGAATTTGCACATCTTAGATTGCACTGTGCGTGAGATCCAGCAGCCCCTCCTCGAGGCGGCTCGCCTCCCATCTGGCCTCCTCCCAACGGCCAACGACCACGGTGACCAGCGCCACAACCTCACGCCTCCCACAGGGCGCACCTGGCGGCGGAACGTGCCTCCCAAGCACAAGTTCATTAACCTCCTGATCCCCGAGGCTTGAGCCGGGCCAGTTGAGTTTTATCACCATCCTGCCTGCCTGGGACTCAGGCCCAGGGTAGCAGAGGGCTTGGCCTGGGCCCACAAGGCCCCGCGGCAGAGAAGGAGGAAGCCGTGGGGTCTGCTAATAAACACAGCCCCTGCGTTCCTTCCGGGAGCCGACAGCTGACTTCCCTCCCTGCATGTCCCCATCCCATCACCTGACAATCAAGGCTCATCCAAACACACGCTGAGAGCGCCAGCACGACTCGCTGGCTATTAATTAAAAAAATAAGTAGGGAACAGTTGCTGTTCATTTGCTCAGCTTCCTGCTCACAGAACCATCACAGATTACGGTGTTAATTAAGAGAGGGCATGTGCGTGCGGGGAAGGTACCATTTTCTGAGCGGCTGATCTGTGGCGACCAGCCCTGCAGTCGGAGCCCGAAGGGGCCTCGGGAAGCCATTCCACAGTGTGGCCATTGATTGATGGCATTCACGACCTCTCAGACCAGACAACCTACCCGCGAAGGAGGCAGGCATTAAAATCCATGGAGGAGAGATATGGGCGAAAATGGCCACTTACAGAGTGCACGCAGGCCAGGACTGCTGACCGGGTCTTCTCCTGGTGCGTATCCCGCTTAATCTCTGGGACAGGATTGTCAGATCTATGGTGTCATCTCCTGGTCCCCAACCAGGCAGGGGGATGTCAACTGACTTGTCCAGGGTCCTGTGTTATCTACTGTGTTAGATAGGCCGTCTGCTAGGCTACCACAACCAAGTACCACAGACTGGGTGGCTTAAACAGCAGAGACTTATTTTCTCACAGTTCTGGAAGCGAATCCAAGATCCAGGTGTTGGCAGGCTGGGTTTCTCCAGCTTCTCACTGAGTCCCCACATGGCCTTTGCTTCGTGCCTGCCCATCCCTGGTGTCTCTCTAGGTGTCCAAATGTCCTCTTCTTGTAAGGACATCAGTCAGAATGGATTAGGCCCACCCTAACGGCCTCATTTTAACTTAATTACCTCTTTAAAGGCCCTGTCTCCAAACAGTCACCTTCTGAGCTACCAGGGTTTGGGCTTCAGTATCTGGATTTGTGTGTGGCGGACACAATTTAGCCCATAACACCAGCCCAATTCAGCATAAGTTGTGACATGCCTATAGGACATGAACCCTTGGTAGTGGGTGAGAAAAGTACGTGTTCAGGCAGAATCTGATGTCTTTTAAACATTCTTTGTTATTTGCAGACTCTTAAAGAAAATACTAAGTGCCAGGGTTCATAGTAACTTTTTTTTTTTTGGCCATACTACATGGCTTGCGGGATCTTAGTTCGCCGACCAGGGATCGAACCTGGGCCCCGGCAGTGAAATTGCCAAGTCCTAACCACTGGACCACCAGGAAATTCCTCTAGTAACTATGTTTGAAATGCCTTACAAACATGAGCTCATTTAATCTCCATGATAACCATCTGTAATGGGTGCTCTTCTTATCCTCATTGTACAGAGGGGGAAACCTGGCGCTGAGCGATTAAATACCTTGTCATTTAGTGGTAGAGCTGGATTCCACCTGTTGTGTTTCCATCCTTTGGCATTACTTTTCTCCTCACTAAGGACAAATCGGGACCGAAAGCAGAAGAGATCGAAGATGCCATCTACGTGACCATGGAAATCCAGTCCAACTGGGGCAGCGCGTCGTGGGTGGGTCTCACAGAAGTGGAATTCTTCGACCGGAACAACACAAAGCTTTATGTGTCGCCTCATGATGTGGCTGTCCGGAACTCGGACATGCCCGGGGAGCCGGGCCACCTGGTCAGCAGGAACTTAGCTGTAAGTGGAGGCGGCCTTGTGTGAGTCTTGGCCGCATGTTTTGATGCACTTTTTCTGCCCACGATAAGCCCAGGATAAGGGTGTGGGTGCAGCAAGGGGAAGGATGATGTAATCATCCACAGCCATTCATTTGGGCAGGGTGGGGAGGAACCGGAGGGCAAGGTACAGGGAGGGGCCTCCAGCGGCACCCCCTCGCCCTGAGCTCTTGCCCATCTGCTCTGCAGAGGGTTCTTATGGGGGGTGAGGGGCCAAAGAGGAGCCGGTTCACCCCCTTTATCTACATTGCAGTTTCCCACAGTAACCACCAAACACGGGACCTCGGGATATCATTGAGGGCAACACCCACGTTTTGTAGATGAAGAAACTAAGGCTTGGACAAGGGCATTGACTTGGCCAAGGTCACACAGCTGGAAGGTCGGGGAGGGGGGAGGGGGGCGGTGCAAATGCACCCCCTGCAGCCTGGCCCAGGGCCCACGCACCCTCTCAGGGTCCTGCTTCCCTGGGGCATGGAGTACGTGCCCAGCAAACATGGAACATCACTTTCTTTTAAATATCTGAAGGTTAAAAAAAGAAAAGCACTGGCATTTTCTCTTCCTGCCTCTTGCAAGCTGGACACAGGAGACTAGACAGACCACCCCGCACTGACATCTTTACGGTGCTACGTGCTTCAGCATCAGTCACGTGACCTCTGGGTGGGGCCCGAGATATGGGGAATAGAGGTTGCCTCTGGGCCACGGAACTGGCTGAGCAAGGGACAGGGGCAATAGGAAGACTTTCCCTTGGATGCTTTTTTGCACCTTTTAAATTTCCTGCGACGTACACGTATTTGCTATTCCAAAGAACAAATTATTAATTTTTTAAAGGTATTGAAAATGAAGACAATTGCCACATGTTCAGTTCTTGCTTTGTGCCCGGCACCACGCTAAGTGTGTTGTGTGTATAATCTTATATAAACGAAACAGTGTACAGGCTGGAGAAGCAGAAAGGCCTGGGTTCAAAGCTTAATCACTTACAGCTTCATGACTGTGGGCAACTCACCTAACATCTACTTTGATTTCCTCGTCTGTGAAATGGGGAGAATTATAATACTTACCTTGATACGATGTTTTAAGGATCACATGTAAATATGATCCTCACTCTTCGAAAGGGCTCCAAAACATCAGCTATTACTGTTTCCGTCGTTACTAGTCGTAGTAGTAGCAATACCACTATGAAGTAAATATTATTGCCATTTAAAGAAAAAGAAGCAAGAAAGGAGGGCTTTGAAGTCCCCAGCTCTAGAGACCCAGGTTCTGGTCTTGACTCTCTAGCCTTGGGCATCTTACCCGCCTTCTCTGAGAGTCGTTTTTTTCTGCCCCCTGTAGAATCTAGGAGTGGAAGGCCTGGATAATTCGTATGATTCTTATTTTTCCAGCAAAAGAAACTGAGTCTGGCTCTCTTTAGCAAATTTTTGAAAAGAGATTTGTTGCAAGGCTTTTGAGTAGCTGGCATGTTCACTGTCACCCAGGCCAAAAGAGGACAGGCCCCATGAGCAACTTGGGGTTCTGGGTAGCATCCTGGGATGCATGAATACCGAGAGTTTGGTCTTCTTTTTTTTTGGTGGAGGGGGGGAGGGTGCAGTGTTTGTTGGTTGATTGGTTGGTTAGTTGGTTTCTCATCTTGTCATTCTGCTGGAGATATCCAGTCCAGGAAAGGAAGACTGATGGACCAACCTGGCTAGGAGAGCCAGGCACCTTGGTGCCAGTTCCACTAAGATGCCCCAGTGGGGCAGGGAGGGAATTTTCCCTGAAGAAATTTGTGGTTGTTACTGAAAGAAAGGCAGGGTAGATGTGAGACAGCCAGGAAACACAGCCTGTCTATAGGGTTGGACTGAGTGGTTTCTGAGCCCACTTAAAGAGCAGCAGCTATGGGACCTTGAGGGAAACAGGTCATGGCCACTTGGACGCTCTGGCCTTGCATTCCCTGCTCTGCTCCCTGCTTCAAGTCCGTAGGCTCCCGTGCATATGCTGCTGAGGCTTGGACCAGCCCTTGCTAAACCTCTCCTGTCCCCCTTGTGCACAAAGCAGTGGCATTTTGGAAGCCTACTATACAGAACAGAGCATACCAGGGGCGATAAAAAGCATCACTGGATTTAATGGGGACAAATTCTGATGATTGCTCTCCCCTTTTCTCTGTTTAGCAGAGGCTGATGAGCATTGCCATGCGATAGCAGTGAGGACTTTGGCCCAGGGTTTGGGTGGGTTTCGTTTTGGGGGGTTTTTTTTGTTCTTTTTTTTTTAAATTTTGGGCCCTGAGGCAGCTGTCTCACCCCGGGCTGCTAGATCTCTGGGCCCAGCTGTGGGTCGGCTGGATTCCCCCTTCTGCCCTGGCCTGGGGTCTCTCTGATAGTCGCCCTATGAACCACGCCTGGGGCCACCAGAACACACTGCCTCTCAGAACCATTCAGTTTCACTGGGGTCTCGGGCATCCCTCACTGAATCCTCACATGAACCTCGGGATGACCTTCCCCATCTGATAAACGAGAAAACCAAGTCTCAGGGAGGATGAGTGACTCGTCCAGGCCACACTGCTGTGGAGTGGTGGGGCTCGGCTGAAAGCTGAGGAGAAGATACCTGAAAGCAGAGTCTGGGTTTGAAAGAGAAGTTGCTTCAGTGGAGGTGAATGAGGGGCGTGCGGGGGGCTGTATGAATGCCCTGTGTTCAGTGCAAACCCTCCTTCCTGCCCTGCTCACCCCATCTCTCTCACCGCCACCCCCAGGCCCATGGCTTCAAGTTGGCTCCAAGTTTATATGCCCAGCCCTGCCTGCTTCCGAGTTCCTGACTTGAATGTCAGCTTCCGCTCAATATCTCAGACTTCAGAGACCTGAAACCTGAGTGTCGATTCCCTGGCCCACGCCCTCATCTCTTCCTCCTCCAGCTCAGTAAATGGCATCCCCATCCGCTCAGCTGCCAAGCCCACCACTTAAGAGTCTTCCTTGGTTGCCCCACGCCCCTTCTCCTTCCGACACATCAGGAAGTCCTATTGATTCCGCCTCCAACGTGCAGCCTGGATCTGGCCCCTTCTCTCCATTTCCACTGGTTCTTCCCAAGTCTGATCAGCTGCCCCCTCTCACTGGAGCTTATATTAAGTGGTCTCCTCTCTCATTCCTTTCTTCCATTCTTGCCCCCATCCACTCCATTTTCCACTCTGTATCCAAAGGGATCTTTAACAAATGTCAGCTTGCAGCCCTCCCCTGCCGTGACTTTCTGGGGAAAACTGGATGCCTCTCTGTGGCCCCGGAGGCTGTCTGTGAACCGACCTCCAGCTCCCTCTCTGCCTGCCTCACATACCAGGGCTCCCTTCTGCTCCCCTGACCTGCCAAGCTCGTTCTCACCTGTGGGTTCGGCACTTGCCGCCCCCTCTGCCCAGAGCATCCCTCCGACAGATGTTCATGTGGCTCCTTCCTTTCTCATCACTCAGATTTCAGCCCACGTATCACTTTCTCAGCAAGACCTTCCCGGACTCTAGAAGCTGGAGGAGTCCTGTTCTCTCCCTACGCCAGTCTCTATCACATCAGCTTTTTTCATTTTCTTCAGACCACTTCCCACTATCAAAAGTGATTTTGTTCACTTGTTTCTGATCTGTCTCCTCCCACCAACCTATAAGTTCTTGTCCGTCCTATTCACACTATATCCCTAGCACACAGAGCAATACATTTTGGAACTTTTAAAAATAAATAATTATAGACTCACAGGAAATTGTTTTTTAAAAACCAGGCAACAGTGAGAGGCCTGCGTACTGGAAAAAAAAAAAAAAAACAAACAAACAAAAAAACAGTGCAGAAAAGAGAAGAACAATAGAGAAAAATCAACAAAGCCAAAATTTGTTTTTTGGAAGAATCAACAAAATGAACAAACCTTTAGCTATACTGAGCAAGAAAAAAAAAGGGGGAAATATTCAAATTACTAAAATCAGGAATGAAAAAGGGGCCACATCACTACCAAACTAATAGAAATCAAAAGGATTACAAGGGAATATTGTGAACAATTTTATGCCAACAAATTAGATATCCTAGATGAAATGGACAAATTCCTAGAAAGACACAAATTACCAAAGCTGAATCAAGAAGAAATAGAAAATCTGAATAGACCTATAACAAGAAAAGAGATTGAATTAGTAATCAATAAAAAACTTCCCACAAAGAAAAGCCCGGGACCAGATGGCTTCACTGGTGAATCTTACCAAATATTTAAAGAATTAGCACCAAGCCTTCACAAACTGTTCTAAAATACAGAAGAAGAGAGAACACTTCCCAACTCATTCTCTGAGGCCAGTATTACACTGATACCAAAACCAGAAAAAGCCATCATAAGAAAACTACAGACCAGTATCCCTTATGAATATAGATGTAAAAATCCTCAATAAAACATTAACAAATCAAATCTTGCAGTTTATAGAAAGATTTACATATCAAGACCTAGTGGAGTTTATTCCAGGAATGCACAGTTGTTCAACATGTGGAAATTAATCAACAGAATACAACATATTAATAGAATAAAGGAGGAAATAACCACATGATGTCTTAATAGACATAGAAAAGGCATCTGATAAAATTCAACATTCTTTCATGATAATACATCAACAAACCAAGAATAGAGGGAAGCATCCTCAGTCTGATAAAGGGCATCTATGAAAACCCACAGCTAACATCATACTGAATGGTGGAAGACTGAAAGCTTTCCCTCTAAGACCAGGAATGGGACAAGGACGCCTGCTTTCATCACTTCTATTCAGCATTGTACTGGAGATTCTACCCAAGGAAGTTAAGCTAGAAAATGAAATAAGAGGTTGGAAAGGAAAAAATAAACTATATTTGCAGGTGAAACGATCTTATATACAGAAAATCTTAAAGAAATCACAGAAGTTACTGGTAAAGCTAACATCGAGTTCAGCAAAATTAGAGAATAAAAGATCAATATACAGAAATCAGTAGTGTTCCTATACACTAGCAATGAACCATC